GCTTACAGTGGAACTCCCCTGAGATCAGGGCCTTCACCAGGTCTCCAGCTCAACCAGTATTAATAAGAATTCAGTCATTTTGACACAGCCTGTAGCTGCAGGACCATATGGAAAACAATATACATTGAGAACACAGGAGGGTGCATGCGTCTCGGTGACATCAGGTTTCAGTCCATATATTCACACTTTCATTCCATACTCCCAGTTTTCCAATTAATGTTCTCGTCACTGATTACCTAATGGCATGCCGTTTAGGGAATACTGTTCTGAGACAGTGAGAGGAGTGGGACCACGTGTTGTTCTTCCAGTGGTTTCAGGGGACCTGAACTCTGAAAACTGTGCACCACTGCACTCCTCGCAGTACCTGGTCTCCAGAGGCCTTATGGTCAGACAGATTGTTTTCAGCTTTCACATCCTGTCTCATATGTGCACTGTGAACACAGAGCACTGCCCCAGCATGATGGGAATACGAATGAAGGATGGAATCATTTGGAAAATAATAAAGCTGTGCTGAGTGTGTAACTATGGGTAAACAGGCAGCAGCAGTGATGGGCACACTGGGCTGGATGCTGCCGTCTGCTGTGTATGTCCTCTAGACACAATGTGATATACTGTGAGATAGACCCGTCAGCATGAAGACACACCAACTGCAGACAAACAGGCTGTTACGCTCTGCTAACCACAGTGCACGAACACATGTACACACTACATAATATCTCAGTGGCTTATGCAAATCGAACACTATCTCACACTCACACACTCCGAGACACATAGCACAGCAGAGCGTCTCGCCGATGGTTTCAGGGCCCAAGGTGAGTTCCGCATAAAGACCAGATGCCATTCAAACACTATTTACAACAACACTTGAGCTGGGGCATCTTCAAACAAACACCATCTCAGCAGCTATCAGCTAATGGCGACTAGGTAGGAAATGTGGAGTGGAGCCAGACAACGGCAGAATGTAGGTGCAGAATGAAGACATACTGACAACATGTCAGAGGAGTGCATGTCATGTCAGGAAGGAATGTGGGAAACTCTTTCTCTTCAAATCACCTACCAGTCTGTTCAAGAACAGAGAGTGAATTGAGGTGCTAAAGTGCCAAGCAGGAAAGATGCCAAGAGCTGCCAGGTTGTGTTTGTGAGTAAAACAGGTCTGAGCTTTGGCATTTCCACTTGTACTTAGCAGACATTTCAACTGCCTGCTTTGTTTTTACATCACCTTTTATCTTACCTTCTTCACTGTACAGTATATTAGCAATCAGAGCTGCCTTCCCAAGATTTGGGTGATTATGACTCTGTTTATGATCTGTATCGCACTTTTTAAAAACACGTATTCTAGCATTTGCACTGCCAGGTACACTTGCAACACTTGTATAGCATAGTACCGACCAGACCACAACCCTGAATCTATGCAACAAAACAACAGCAAGTGCTCTGGGACCCCATGACATCATGTTGGGTGTGGTTACAGGTGTAAGTGCTTGCTCCTGACAATACACAGCTACATTCATCAGAGATGCTGTATGTAATCCAAGGTAAAAGGAGCCTTCAGCCCAAAGGGGAAGTGGCACTCTGCTGTACAAGTGCAGTTGGGTTGGAATTTCATCTCTGACAAAGCATGTAGATCAGAAAACAACCAGGACAGACACCAACAAACCTTAGGTTTAAAAAAAAAAAAAAAAAAGTTAAGCTGTTCAGTTTTGGTTTGTGAACAGACAGAGGACAGAGTTATGAAGATGACCAACTGCACCTGAGGACAACCAGAAGCCTGTGTGGCTGCAGAGGGGCTGATCCCAGCTGCTCAGGTCTACTAACCCAACTTAAGTCAGAAAGCTGGTTCAATCAAGGTGATTTTAAAAATCCTGTTGTATGACAACCCCAGAAAAGCAGAATTACCACGTGGCTAGCAAACAACTACCAGTCATTACCTCATTATTACCAGGCTGTAACAATAAAAGCTACTGTATAGATGCAGCACCTCTGTGACTAACAAGCTTACAGAAAGGAATCGTTTGTGATTCGTGTCATCAGAACAGCTAAATGTCACATACAACTGATGGCATGGTGTACTGAACTGAGTAATAGTAATTGTTTACAAAAGTTTAGTTCTGTAAGTGTTACTTGTGATTTATCCCAGCATGCACTGAGCAAGAGGTAGCACCACAGACGCAGCCATACACTATGTACACATTTAGTATGGCCTGTCAGTTTCTGTCTTCAAGCGTGCAAGTCCAAGCTTGCTCCTTACGGTATGTTTGTATGTTTACTAGTAATAAGCCTGCTGAGGGCATTGGTAGTGCAAACACATGTATCCTGCTGACAGAACTGTTCAGGCTTCGACTCCGGCTACAATTAAGCAGCAGTTATGAGGATGAGTAAGTACAGTGGATGACTAATGGAATCTTGAAAAACAAAACAAATAAGGACATGCTGCCAAAAGGTCTTGGTATTCTTTCTAAATAACAGCTCATGTTGACTTCTGTCATTCACCTAACCTGGCAACAGTGGAAAAAGACTGCTCAGCAGCTGGCTCTACTGCCTGAAACTCCTCCACCACCTCACATTGTGGCCCTCGGCCTGTGGCGTACCACAGTGTAAATCCTGTTTCCAAACAAACCATGGGCAAACTTGTTTTCACTACTGTGAAATATGCCTGAACACTACAAGGCTTAAACTCTGAATGGAAGACACATAACCAGTAAGAATTTATTGTCATAAGCACAGTTTGTTACACAAAAATAATGGGTCACATTTACACAATTTATACAGGTCTAGAACTCAATGTACAATTAACAGACTAAATACCAATAGTTAAATATGTACTCACATTGCACACAATATCATTAAAACCTACACAAAAACATGTACTGTGTGAAAGTAACACAAGTCGACATAAAAATCACATTATTTACATAAAAACATCAAATTGAGATCTTTAGCAAAAGGACTGATGTCTGTTCTTCCATCCGTCTGTAAGAGACATCATACAGTCTATCATGTAAAATGTCCCCTACCAGAAAGTATTATTCAGTCTCTTAGTAGATGATAAGATTATAAAGTAATAAAGTCAAGTAGTAACAGCTGAAGAACACCACATACACTAGTAAATACTGCACTTTGCTTGGACGGTATGGCGCTTTTCCCTTAAGCAGGCTGGTGAAATTAGCAGTTAGTTTTGAGGTGCACTTTAAGCCTTAGCTTAGCAACTGTCAGCAATGAGTTTTTGTTTCTTTTTTCCATTTATACATAAAATCCTTCTGTGTTCAGGTTTTTCTCTAGCATTCTGGACATCACTACATATAATTTACACAATATATTGATGGAGAGAGTAGGAACAGTGGCAGGTGGGGAGGGGAAGCCTCATATCTCCTGTGCTGTTTGGCAGAGTCAATGATGTCGCACAAGAGGCTGCACCAGTCAGATGGAGGTGTACACCTTCATCGCTCATACAAAACTTACCATGTGACCGTGGAAACAGGCAGTGCTGGGACTTCTTAGCACCTATCAATAGTGTTGCTCTCGACAGTCAGGTTTTAACAGAGGGGGGAACTGGGGCCCGTTTCAAGAAGGAGGTTTTGTTGAAACTCTGAGTTTGTTAACCCCGAAATGAGGAAAACTCAGAGTTTTCGGTTCCAGAAACGGAGGTAACTTAAACCCGTGAAAGCGGGGTAAGTTAAACCCGTTTCAAAAAGAGAGGTAATCTAAACTCAGAGTCAGTTACTATGGCAACTTACTCTGTGAACCTAACCTGGTTGGGAGCAGGTTTTGTTCGGGAAACCCAGAGTTTCCTCCGGTCTCCGCCCCTTTTTAAAGTGAAAGGTGTTTAAATAGGCCTACCTCATTTAATCTTTCAGTACATTCATAGATTGCACGTTTCCCCGTCACGCAGAGACCAAAATGGCGTGTCCATTCATAGAGGATCCTGTAGATGAGGACGCTGTATT